AGCCATAGGATTGTGCAAGCAGTATCCTGTTGAAAGTCATCGGAGTTAAATGATTCCGAGTTTCACTTTCTTTCTTGGAAGTGTCCTTTTATCACAAGATGTGTGTGTGGCACATATTAGCATGAGAACTTGAGCTATGTTGTGTGTTTTGTGGATCTGACTGTCTGAAAATCAGCATATCAAGGCAAGTTGAGGCAAGTTACAAAAAGAAAGGAAACAAACAGTAAAAACTAAAATTACTCTGACACAGCATCCTACACATCACTATGTTAGCTTGGGAATATTACCATGTTGCATTAACATTTATGTCAAGGCACTGGGTATTGCAGTTGATATTTCATTATTTATTTATTATTATTTTTTAAATAAAATCATTGATTATGAGAAAACTGGGGCTAAAGAAGGAATATCAGCATTTTCTCTGAAATGGGGCAGCAAATTTTGGGGGGAGGCCACCCCCCACCCCCCCTGGTGGCACCCCTGCTAACTAATCTGGCTTTCACTATGCCTCATAATCAATGAGTTTTTCATAATTAATGAGGCTGTCTGCCTTTTTTCCACACAAAAAGGCACCAAAACAGGTAGCGCCGTATGTTTGAGCTGCCAGATTTAAACAAAAAAATATATCTCAGAAATCCTTCATACAACACATGGATTTATAGGAAGAGATTTACTCCTCTTTGGGTCGAACCAGGAATCTTTTACCTTACTTGATTGTGTAGACCGTTAAGCAATGCATCTCATACAGTGATCATTGCCTGGGTACAGTGAAAATAATTACTTTGGCCCCATTTGACACAAGGTGGAAACCTATATTGTTACCAGTTCCCTTTAATCCTATATTAACTTTTTGGACTACAGTATTATTCATCTACACAATCCAGTCCCTGTTCTTGTCATATAAGTATATTCTATTGCCATAGCTCTTGGGAGGGTAGGGCTTAATATATGATCAACATTATTTACCAGTTGTAAAATCACTTAATCTGCTGTTCAATGCACAGGTACAGTCTACAGTATACAGTGTAACTTATCTGAGCCTGTGAGCTGGCTGCTACCCTTAGCTTTTTTTTTCTTTAATGCTAGGGCTGATGGAAGTCACTGGACCTAATCCAGATGGACCATTGAACCAAAATAATGAAGTGGCTGAGGGATGCATGGACCTGCAGACCAGCTGCAGTGTTGTAATACTTCACCTGGAAGGCAGTAATCTGATTTGGAGGTAATATCATCTATTATATGATGCAGACTGAAGGTGGCGGACTTTTTTTAGTATTGTAGCAACTATAAAAGGTCAATTAGCACTTTATATGTAAACCCGGTTTCTATTATTTGATTATGTGCAGCAAAATGATTTTTATATGCATATGTATACATATGCATGTATACATATACAAAAAATATGTATACATATGCATATACTGCAACGAATGTAAGCTGTGTGTTATTATATATTTCTGTGGTTTACAAGCTACGTTTTGTAGCTCTGACTATCCTCTTACAAACGTGGGAATATTGTTGAAAATCAGCGTATCAAGGCGAGTTACAAAAAAATCCACAAAAAACTTCTATTGAAAGACGGAAGCATATATTAAAAACTGAAATGACGCTGACAAAGTATAATATGATTGGGGAATCTGGTGAAAATGGCTCACAGAAATGTTTGGAAACTAAACTCCTGACTGTGGGAAAGCAAATGAAGATAAATGCTGTTTTAAATGCATAAAAGCACGGGGGTTTAGATAAACAATCTCCACTTAAATAGAAAATGGCTTCTTAAAGAATTACTTAAAGACTTGTGCAGTTCCTCAGATATGTATGCTTTAAGTACAGCAGACATTTTAGCATTGATGATTTTTTTCCCCCAAATATCTGCCTCCAGCTCTACCCACTTCAAAAGAAGCAACAGTCATATTTTTTGCAGTGATTGTCTATGAGACACGTTAAATTGTTTTTCTTTGCCTCTTTGTGAGTTACACTAGTTGATTTACAAGCACAGTAAAGGTTGGAAATGACACTGTAGAACTACTTGTCGAACCGCTTTAAAATGTAGCACTTGAATTTGCACATAGATGACACTGGTTTAATTCACAGTGAAAGATAATCTCTGATGTGGATATCAATAAAAATGTAATATGTGGTCTGCCCTGTTTAAATTTATTTTATGGACCCATTCCTCTTGTCTTCTAGGGCGTGGACTTGCTGTGGCTGCAATATTATTCAGCAGTACCACTTTTCAAAATTAGCAGGCCCCAGATAAGTACACAAACTCAGCAGAATGCTCCTGCACAATTTCTATTAGCCAAAGTTTATAAAGTTCTTTTGTGTATAGTAAATTTAAGTGCAAATCTCTCTTTGAAATGAATCAAATCACGTATTACATTTGACTTAAGTTTAACTTAATTTTGCTGAACTGCCTCATGCAGAAATACAAACATTCAGAAATACAAACTCTCCAAAGTGTCTCATTACATTAAAGCACTGACATAGTACAGACTCACACAGGAGCTTTCTTCATAACTGACATGAATTCTGAAAAGTTCTCCTCCTGCACAGCTTGTACCTACAATCCAACCTGACAGTCAGCAGCTATGTGAGGATTTCAGCATATTACGCTATCAACATGCAGGGGAAAAAAGGCTAAAGAAAAGGCTCCAAAAAAAATCAGTTCAGTCACTTACCGACCACGTTCTCATACCAGATGACAATGTAATCAAGATGTTTAGAGCTAAAGTGCGTTTTTAGGAAAGCCTACCACTAGCTCCAATAATGTTAGCTTATAACCAGCCGTTGTTGTTGTTTAGCTGGCTTATTGTCAGATGTCCCGAGATGAGAGAGGGCCACATGTCTAATTGCTGTGTTAAAGCCCTGAAGATGAAACTTGAGCTGAGGAGGTAGAACTGAGGGAAGCAAGACAGCAGTGGTGGAGGAGCCAGACATAATGAGAAATAAATGATGAAGGATACATGCGCAAAAATATAGTTTGAAAGAGCTATTTGTAAAAGTAACTTCTTAGGCTGGTCTCTGGCCACATAAAATGTGATTACATGGAACAGTGATCTTGACCAGTGTATGTATATATTATTCATATAGCATCAAATCACAACAACAGTTGCCTCAGGGTGTTTTGGACAATCATATATTTTATTTATATATTTAGTATTTTATACCTTTATGCATTTTTAAGTCTGCACCTAAAAGTCAATGCAGAATTTTTGGGACTTTAAGTGAAAATTCCACCTTTGCATGTCGCATTACTTACATTTAAATGGACTGAACAGGGCTACTCGTACGAGGCTTCAAGGCTTTCAGAGGTGCTTTGAGCCCTCATTCCTTGTAACAGTGTTACACGACTTTCATTTTCAGTGTGCTTTATTTCTTCTTAGAGGGGTTTTTAATTAAATCCCGAGTATCGCCTGCTAAGAAGGTAATATCACAATCTTTGTTTGACATACTGCTCAAATAAAAGTTGCACGCACTCTTATTCACAAGCTTTCATCCAAAATTCCCCTCACACTTTATGAACAGTTCTATGAAACTACAAGGGTCTGTTTCACGTTGCTAGTTTGCTTTTTATGTCCATAAGTGTGTGTCCATGAGTGTGCTCATGGGTGTGTGCATGCTTCATTGCAGCCTTTCGTCATTTCATTGTTTTACTCAGAGACCTTTTATGAAGTTCAGATTGTTCGGGGATTTGGAGACCATCAGCACAATTGGCAAAGGCATAATGAATGCTTCTGTATTTCGTGCACCCTTGTGGCCAGTTTGCAGTTGTGAAAAGGTTTAGATGCATTGAACGTACATGTCCTAAGTGAAAAAAAATCTTTATTTCATTCATAAATGACCAAAAACAGTTTAGCAATTAGAATGAATCAAATTAACTAATTTATAGACAAATAAACAGAGGTTATATCAAACTACTTAACGGTAATTAAAAGGTAAAGCGACATTAAGCGACATTTAAAACAGGGAATATAGAATCAAATGCTTTAATTATAACAGTGCAAACAGAACAGAATCTCATGTACAAAATTAGATATAGAAATCTACATTTTAATGCAAGCATATTGACAAGAAAACATATTTAACTTGAGAAAAAGTCAAAATACATTTCTTATGGATGGTACTAGTTGAAGGTCACAAAGATCAGGTTCAAATTTGAGAAAATCCTTCATATAGGCTTTGACAGTGTGCAGAAGAGTGGAACTTTACTTGGGAAGAACATAATTCAAAGCAATCTCATTCCACAGGAAGAAAGGGAATAGTAAGAGTTCTCTGCAAAGGGCTTCTGCTGGTCACTTGTAACACAGGGTAATGGCTATTAAACTGCACACAGGTACTGAAAAGAGTTCTAGACTTTGTGAGTTTTTCTTGGAAGCCATTTGAACAGAGTCTTGCACAGCTTTTTGCTTTTCAGCTTTGACTTTGTTAAGTTCTTAATGACGACATTTTGGAGCAGGCTGAAGGTTAAAGGCTGGGATAGGTGCGCAGTTGAACGATTCAGAACCTCCAAGAAGCGTCTTTCCTGCTGCCTGAAGTCATACTCTACACTGGAGAGACACACACACAGCCCCAAATTAGTCATTCTCCCACCTGAAGAAAACACACATTACAAAAAACAAAAAGTGTGTCAAACCTGAAAGCTTTCTCCGAAGATGCAAATGAATGTTTTAGTGTGTCGTATCTGCATTTCCAGCTCATTTTTACATAATGCAAAAGCTTTTCATGCCTCAAAATCACTATAAACTGTGTTGCTACATTTCACTTTGCTTTGTGTGGTCTCCTCATGTGGGAAGCGCTGCACTTGTCAGGTTTCAAAGTGGCTGATTGGTTTGGGCAGGTAGACATTTCCCAGCAGGATATCCTCTTTTTTTGGAGGGTACACAAGTCTGGTTTAAATATTCTTATCTTCCCACTTGGCCTTTTAAGGACCAGATGCCCACACACACACTCCACACACACACTCCACACACACGCGCACACACACTGGTCAGCAAATCAACTTATGTAACACTCTTTTTGTCATACAAAAGGGGTTTTGGAAAATAAGGAGATCAACAGGAATGTTTTGAATATTTCACGATGAAGACAATTTAAGGTTTTGCTTTCTCGAGCTTGAGGCGTTTTTGTTTTCCGAAAAGATGATGAGAAGAATTTTAGATTTTCCTCGCCCCACTTAGTAATATTTTTTATTCTCCATTGCTTCCACCTGATGCAACATTTTAGTTATTAGGTGCAAACTATACCAGTGTTGGAATATGAGAACTAACCAATATTCCATGATAAGTCTTACAGGCAAGGGATGCGAAAGCTCTTCTCAGACAGCAGACAAACAATTCCTTTCACTGCTTTCTTTAATAAAGTTTGCAATGCACTGAAATGCAACCGCTACTGCTGAATTGCTGTCATGAAAACTAAGACAGTAATAGCTCAGTTAGCTATAACTACTTTTGATATATTCTCCTGCTTCCTACGAGTCATCGAATCTTCTAAAACATTTCATTTTAATACAGCATAACATCAATTAGTCTACAATCCAACTGACAATGCAAATTTTGACTTCATAAATCAGTATAAATCAGTTTTGTAGGCTGCTTGGACCTGACTCAGTTCTGTCTGCCTGCTTACATTTCCAAATAGACTATGCTACATAAAGCAAGTGCTTAAATTTGGCAGTTTTTCCATAAGATTTATCGTGTTCTCTGACAGGAAAATATAATCCTTCTGTTACTTCTGAGCAAGAAACTGCTTGCTAATGACAGTAAGTCATTAATTTTTAGAGAAATGAAGAGAACAGACTGGCCAAGAACTGGCAGCTGCAATGGCAAAGGTGCTGACCCATGAACTGAACTGTGTGCCTGAAACTGTAAATCTGTTGTCCGACTTTGTCCTTGAATAAACTGATACGTGTTCCTGTTACTGTGCATGCCATGCATGTTGATTTGGTTTAATTGGTTTCTTCATCTCTTTTATCGAATGAACACCAAAAGGGAAGCAAGTAGCAAAATTAAGGTGTATTAATTATACTGTAGCATTCTTATGGGACATTGCAGCAGATTTGATCAGTTATGTGTTCAGACTTTGCATGTAAGCACAACTGTCATCTCACCTGTATACAACACAAGCAGTTTTCTGACACGTTGAGCAGTCTTTGAAGTCCTGTCCTGTTTTGTGGGATCGCCGACTGGAATACAGATAAAGCACATTTTATATCCCAAATATTGTGAATAACTGCTTAACTCTGTAACCCTTTAGTGCAAGAGAGTATGAGCTATTAAGAATTCTAACATAACTTGAATGGAAAAGGAAGGATGAATTAATGTATGACCCTATCAACTTTTAGCAGCTTACATGAATCATTGTGTCTTATTGTTAATGAAAGAAAAATAAACGATGCAGCTGATGTAACAACTAAGGTATATGATGTCTTTTTAAGTCATGATAAACCATAAACCCGTCCTTTTGTATTAACCAAATCATCCTTTTAGATTTACAGTGTAATCATCTTTCCTATCACTGTATCCATCTGAGACACTTTCAGTCTATATAACATAGCGTGTAAGACATCAGTAGGTTATTAGGAGTTGGTTTTTCTAAAACATGACCTCAGAGACAGTCACAGCTTATTAACACAGCACACTGAATGAGAATGATTGACAGAGACACGTTGCCAGAGGCCTGTTTTAATTCCTGTTATTTGTCCCAGAAGAATTGCGTGGCTATATAAATCTCTGCCCCCCTGAAATGCCCAAGTAGGTTTCTATCATACTCAGGAGCATAATCACGGACCTGTTTTTCAAACCTGCAACAATGTTGCAATGCCACATAACTACAATTCGAATCAGATTTTTTGCACGTTTGTGAAACAGACTTGATAACATGTTAGCAGTACTGCCTTCAAATTGATTTGTGCAACTTAAATCACAGTGTGCGAAATTATTTACACGACTGAAACTCGTTTGGTTCAAATGTCATTGAGGTCTTCCAGTGCGGATGCTGGAATATCTTTCTTCCTATTATTTACTTTAGTTATAGGACAGAATGGGGAAATATGTGAGAAATATGTGAGAAACACGTGAAGCTCTGTGCTTTTGAAAAAATAAACTGACCCTGTTTTGGTTACTGTACCCTTGTTTTTGTACAGTAATAGATAGAAACATCCTACATCCTGGTTTTCTGTATCATTTTTGTCCTTGGCAATACAGTAATTAGTAGCTAATTAACTGAACAGTGGGTGAGTAAAACATGTGTTTATAAATTTAACAAATGCACAACTGTTTTCAGTCTAAAAACAATGGTGTTTGCATTGATATTCAATGCTGAGTGTTTCCAATCTAAGTGATGACTCACTGTAAAGCCAGAGATCAGCAGAAGCAGGAATGCTTTTAAAATAATTCCTAGACAGGATTCTGGCAGCTGTACCTGTACTGGACTGAATATAAAGTATTACAGCAAAGTATTTACAACTCATCTCTAACAAAGCATGTTAAGTATATGCCATTCACAAATATGTAAAGCTCTATTGTACTAAATATTAAATATTCAAGTAAAAAACTGATGATCCTGAAGTGATAAAGAAAGCTCAACACATCCCTTATTACACTTCCACACACCCTCAGAGCCCAGACACACACGCACATTTACTTACCCACTGGTTGGAGCGTGGCATGTCTCTAGGTCATGGATAATGTTAAGCAGAGTAGTGATCCTGTCCTTGTTGGCTGCCAGGCTGGCCTCCACAGTCTCGAGTCTCTGCTGTAAGGCTGCTGATTTGCAGCACTGTGGGGAAGATGGCAGCAGCAGGGCTGCATCAGCTGGGTGGGAGTGAGCCAGGCTGGTGTCCTCTGGGCACGGCTGAGGAGGAGCGGGGTTGTCAATTGCCTCCACTTTCTTAGACTGGAGGCGGAGATAGGATGCCAAGGGCTTTGTTGATGATAGCAATATGGAATTGCAATCAAGGCCTGTGTGCATATGGGGTTCTCTCTCACTGCTGCATGGGGCTGGCGCAGTGAAAGAACGCTCAGGACGAGTGAGTGTTTGTGGCGGTAATAATGTGTCAGAGTTTTGCTGGACTGAGGATTTGATGATGGGTTTGACATTTCTAGTTGAGGTGATGGGTCCACAGTTTGTTTGCACTGTTATAGAGAGTGTTGAGTTGATGGGATGTGTCTCTTTAACTACGTCAGTTTTAAGCTTAACATTTGCATGACTGGCTGATACACCCAAGGCAAACCGTTCTGCATTTGAATTCTTTTGCTGGGCTGTTGTTACCGGTGGGCATGTTGCACAGTGTCCCTCATGTTCTGTTTCTGCACATCCTTGATTATGTGCAGGCTTTTGTTGTTCTGTTTTTATGAAACCCTGCAGACAAGAGCTGTTTGACTTAATTAGGGAAATGTAATTCTGGAGGTTTGCGACCTGCGATGGATTTGAATTTTCATGGTCTTTTGACTCATGCACAATTAATTCATTGGTTAGATTAGCACTGAAGTTACTTTTATCAGAATGCAACTCCTCGCTGGGTTTATTGGTTGATTTAGGGTGATTAGTGCTAGCATCACTGCCCCTGTTATGATCTTTTGGCACAATTTGAGGCTTAGATAATGCATGTGGAAGTGATAAGTTGCTTTCCTGATGACAAACAACACCACATTTACCAGGTTTGTTACTGCTTTGAGTTCTGATGTCTGGTCCTAGTGTGCATTGAGGTTTGCTTTTGTCGGGGGCTTCATTACAGCTAACTACCTGTGCTGTGCCTATTGATTGAAGCAAATTTGCACTTGATACAGAGACATTATTTTGTTTCTCTGTCAAGGCAAACAGATGCGTGCCAGCTGGGGTTGCAGATTTTTTCGAATTGAATGCTGTGTTCCTGAGAGCTATATTTTTGTTCAGGGTGCTGTTAAATCCAAGTCTAGAGCTGGAAGTAGTACTCACAGGCACCTTAACTTCCGAGTCTAGGAGATTGGATGCACTAGATGTTGTGTCTAGGGAAGATGTACAAGCGTGAAGCAGAGGTTCAGAATTTGAAGAGTTAGGGTGAATTATTTGTGCAGGCACAGACTTATCATCACATGCAATTTGATCTGAATTAGTTTTATAATTTAAAATGCTCAAATATAGATGCGGTATAGCTGGATGCTGTGGATTAGCAAAAGCTTGAATTCCAGTTGAGCTTATTCCTCTGTCAGTAAAAGGTATTTTAGCTAAAGATGTGCTAGCAGCTACTGTGGATCCCTTTTCTTGTAGTTTATGATGTTCAAGTAGAGCATGCGGTGGACCTGAGGGTAAAACGTGTGCAGGTGACTTTGATTTATGCATTTGGTTGAATGCATTGCTGGCCAGTGATAATGTGGGGCATTTAGGGCTAATTTGTTGGTTATTAGTTGTATTTATTTGACCCGCATGCTTGGAGTGTACAGGCTTGTGCTGAGTATTGACTTTAGCAGCTATGCTTTCAGTGGACGTTGGTGCAGAATTAAAAACTGTGGTTGATATGAGTGTGTTGGTACTGGATGTATTTCCAGTCCCTGTGGCTACAGTATAGAAATGCGAAGGTGGTGACAGTGTAATCTCAGGTGCAGCATGTATAGACACACATACATTTTGAGATTCATTGTATTGTGTAGAAATGTGTTGTGTTGTCTTAATGCGCTTGGGGTAAGTGTGCGAATGTGGGTTGTTGGCCTTGGTAGCTATGGCCAACTTGGGGGTCAAAGGGAGAGTTATTGGACGAGAGAGCTTATGGTCCTGTGGAGGTTTGGCACCAAATTTTTCACTGGAAACATCCTGTCTGGTTTCTATTGTTGCTTTTGTGATAGTGATGGTTTTAGCATGTAGGACAGTTGTAGGTTGGATTGATGTTTCACTTCTGGCAGGATTTATATTTGACAAAGTGACTTGATTGCCTATAGAGTGGACCGGGCATGCAGGGTGTGGTGTTTTTCGATACCTTAGTTCCTCATTAACGTATAATAATTGCGGATTGACTGTAATTTGGGTCCTGTTGTCAGTATTATTAATGCTGTCGGAGAGTTGTTGGTTTGCCGTAGGGTTTTTTTCAGTGTGGGATATTTGGAAAGGCGTAGAGGTCGAGAGTGAGGTGAAGGATGAGTTTAAAGAGTTCCCTCTAAGGAAAGCATTGGGAGTAGGAATTTTCTCCCCTATAATAGCAGCTTTGTTGGTTACAGACTGTCTCCCTCCACAGTGGTTGCATATTTTTTGAGGCATACCAAAAGGTCGGGCAGCAGATAATGGCAGCGTCTTCCTACACAAATCTGTATAATGACCTTGCAATCTGGTCCGGTCTCCTCCACGACAGGTTGCTCCCTTTACAGGCTCGGCCTCATCATTGTGTACGGTAATCCCACCGATTGCCTCTGAGTCAACCACACTGCCATTAGTGTAACGGTTACCAGATTTACAATTAGACCTGGCATTCCCTGCAATGTGTGGATTTGTCTTGATTGCCCTGGTATAGCAATAAGTCCCTCTACTGTTCCTCTGACAGCAGGCCACATCCTTTGAGGCCTCACCTCCAAGTGCTTTGAAAGTCACTTCCTTTTTGGTCTTGGATTCGCCACTTTTCTGTTTTAGAATAGCCTTTTTCTCCTTGTCACTCTTTGTTAGCAGTATCTCCTTGTCTTCCGTTTCCTTGGTAATATAGCTGTTGGATGTTTGACTAATGTTATCTGAGAGTGTATCAGTTAGCTGGGTAGGAGGTCTACTTATCGCAGGGGATGTCTGAACACCAACACTGCACTGAAGTCCCCACAGGGCTCCTCCGGATCTGTCTCCTCCTGTTGCCTTCCAACCACGCACGCCAACCAAGGCAGGGACTCCTAAAACCGGAACCGAAGTCGTCAGGTCAGCTGCTCGTCTCCCCATTCCTTGACTGGTCGACTCAAAAGTCTGATAATTCAAAAAGGGGGTCAGCGTTTCCACATCATTACATCCATCTAAAAGTAAAAGAGGAACACGTTTAAAGCGAGAGACATTTTAGATGGCACTGTGAAGGAAATCCACGAGTAAGCAGGAAACAATGCACAGAGCTTGGGCTGAGACAAGGAAGCGCTTTAATAGTGCAAAAAAAAGGAGGATAACTAGAGTTGTCAAGAATTGTGAGGATTGTGCTCTTACTTTCTTGGAATAAGACTGGAAAAAGCAATGACAATGTGCAAATGCTGATAACAAGAGAAGTGTTGTATATTATATCAGCACTTTGAACATAATGCAAAGATCCCACCCACATTAATGTTTCAACATAGCGCCTGGAGTAAACTCTAATGTCTTCTTTCATTACAGTATTTGCCATAGAAGGCAGCGTTCACCCCATTACCCTTCACGTTCAGCTCACCTTGAAAAAGAGTACCATACACTAATGCTATAGCCTTAATTAAGGTCTGTGTGCATTTAACCGCAACACCATTTCATGAAGGGGACAGCCTGTGTAAGTGTGTGTGTGTGTGTGTGTGTGTGTGTGTGTGTGTGTGTGTGTGTGTGTGTGTCTATGCGTGCACACAAGTTTTCTCATGTGTAGAGGAGGTCATTTTAATGATTTATGCAACAACAGTTCAGTTGTCAACACCAGGGTGATCATGTGTGGATTTTTCAGCAATTCTTTATTATACAGTTAAACACAGAGTGTGTGTCTATGTTAGCGCTTGCATGTATTCATTCATGACAAAAAAAGAACATGTAAATACATTTTGGTAAGGCTTTCTTCACTTTCTCCTGGCCTTCATACCCCTCAAAGTCCTTTATCCAGATATGTCTAAATTGCTAGACGAACATTAGTCATCCACAGGGACTATTATTTTGGTTCTCGTGTCAACTGATGTTAGTTGAGCTAGGTCAAGTGACCCACGTCTGTAGTTGCTGTCTAATAATAAGTGACAACTGTCTTGCCCTGTTAATACACCATAAAAAAGCAAGCAGAGAAAAAACAAGCTATTGAAAAGCCGCAAAATGTTTACATGCCCTCAACTTAAGAATAAAACACAGACATACCTCAGTCTTTGTATGATCCTGCTGCAAGTCTTGGCTCCAAATGAGTTAGTTTTACGCACTCTCTTTTATGTCCTCATGGATTCTCAAGGTTCTGAGTGACTTTGTTTTCATATGTTTTTATCCCTTAGCTGCACAATTCAAACTCAGTGCAGTCCACAGGCAGTCATCTCGGTAAAGCAATGCTGCTTAATGAGTTCTCTTCGTAACTGCTCAGATTCTGAACTAATCTACCTTTTATTGATCAGGCATAAAGCCAAGCTGTGTCCTCACTGCGCCCGCTTCTTGTTTTGGTCCTGCTGCTCCACACTGCTCCATAGTATGCCACAGTATGCTGTCCTCCAACACACTCTGCCCTACTATGCCTTATCTTTTTACCTCCTCTTCTCACTTACTCTTTCTGCGGTGCTCCCTCTCTGCTCTTTCTGCTACTGTCCTCCTTCCCAGCATTCATGTATCCTGGTCTATAGCTGGGTGGAGAAAGAGAGCAAGAGAGAGAAAGAGAGAGAAAGAGAGGGAGAGAGAGGAAGTGACTTGCATCAGTGGGGTAGGGACTGTGTGTAAATTACCATACAAGTTAAAAAACAGGAAATGTAAATGGCAGCAAATGTATGTAAACAAAGTTGTAGCAGTCTGAAGAGGCGGTAATTACAAATTAAGCCTCTTTAACACTATTACTAATTTGAGTCTCTAATTTCTTTAATGTATGTGGTTTCTTTTACAGAGAAGGCACTTTTATTCTAGATCGGGCTTAGTCCAGGTAGAAAATAAGCATTCATGTATAGCTAATGTTTGATTTTTCACATTTTGGGCACACATCCTTTTATTATCAGGATGTGTGGCCTCATGTCTTCAGTGCTCTGGGGGGTCTTCGGATGCCCTGGGTCTGCTGGGCTTTTCTCTGTCTGCATCTAGTTCCCAGAGGCCATTGTTTCAGCTTCTCACTGCTCATTATGTACATTTCATGACCAGTGTTGGGGTTGTTATGTACGTATTTCACATTACTTTTCTTAAAAGCAATCAAGTACTTTCTTAATTACTCACTGGAAAAAGCTATTCAATACACTTAACATTACTTTCACTTTATTCCAGTAAACAATATATACCTTAAGCTAATGTTCTACATACCAACACAAATCCATATTCTAATGAGGACACATCTTTGAGGATGAGGATCTCTCTTTTAGTGATTAGATATGAACACAAAATCGACAGCACAAAGCAAAGTTGAAAACCAACCCAAAGAGAATTCAAAATGATCGTCACAGTGATTCTACTTTAGCATGTAAAGACAGAAATGGAGGCAACAGTGTTTCAAGCCTGACTCCTTATCGCTTCCTCTGTTATGCCACTGCCTCTGTTGAAGTTCAGGGTCCAGTTGCAGGTCTGGGGCTTGGAATCACTCAGCTTCAACATCACTCTGGGGTTGTTTTTTTTTGCCAGCTTTGCATTAGCATGCTGTCTGTGCAAATGTTCGCAAAAAGGAGCCAAAGTTATGTTAGCAGAATAATACAGATGTTTCTGTCCTGTACACAGTTTGCATTTCACCATCACACCCAGGTCCTTTGGCACAACAGTGGATGTAGACCATAATTCTGCTTGGACAGGACACCCTTAAAAAAGTACTTGTAATTAACATATAGTATTTCTATCGTACAGTGTACTTTTCTCCACATTGGCATTTAAAGCACTTCACCACATGTGTATTCTTACTTTTATGAATATTAATTACTTTTCAGATTCTGATTTTTTCTTGTTTTTGCAACTTTATTATTTTGTTGTGCAAAATTTTTGATGTCTTCACAAATAAATAAAAATAAATAAATAAATACATTTTAAAAAAAAGAGCTTTGAAGGTTTTTTCCTGCTGCTGACATTAAAGCATGGTTTCTACCTTTATCAAGTACTGCAGTTGAGCCCTGTGGAATTCTTTTCTTTTGGCAAATTTCTTTAATTATAACAACAATTTGAATATTGTCTTGGGATAATGGAAAAAAATATTATTTTCCATAGCAAACATGCAACATTCAAGTACATGTTTTAAGTGAATAAAAGTTTAATTTAATATCAATTAATGTGTATTTAATGTGTATTTTAAAAACCATGTATTTTTACATCTGACAAATAATTGATAAAACATCAAAATGTTTCTCATTTATGGATTTTAATGTGTCGTATATAAGCCCTTTGATGTATGTCATTTAAGTTTATGGACACTAGAGCCCACAGCCTCTAACATAATTTATCACCATGCCTGCATCAACAGGATATTCATAGGATATATTGAAATTATGAATAATCAAGTATGGTAATGTTTATATTTGCTGTCAAATAAATCAGGTTATGCACTATTATGGACATCATAACATTGATTATAGTCAAGTAATCTTACCATCCATTTGCTTCCGCTTATCCTTTTCAGGGTCGCGGGGGGCGCTGGAGCCTATCCCAGCTGTCATAGGGCGAAAGGCGGGGTACACCCTGGACAGGTCGCCAGTCTGTCGCAGGGCTAACACACAGGGACAGACAACCATTCACACTCACATTCACACCTAGTGACAATTTGGATTAATCAATTAACCTATCCCCACAAGCTGATCTTTGTACAATCTCTAAATAATATATTCCTAAAATAAAAAGATAAGAATGAGTTGTTTTATTACTGTATGTTTTGATGTTCATGATTCTTTTGCACCTGAAATGATTTTTTTGCATTGCATCATCTCCTACAATGTTATTACTTTCACAAGATTAAATCTTCAGCCAGCATTAGACAGCACTGCAAATTAAAGGAGAAAAGAAAGGATAAATTAGACAGGATGAAGAGGATTGTCATGGATGTTAAAACCTCCAAAAACTTTAAATACAAAAGCAAATGAAATCAAACTAAGAATATTCTAATACTTTAATGTTTTATATTCATACACTAATCTATTAAAATAATGTAAGTCCTGCTGCGCAAGGAAAATGCATCCATTCTGTGACTCTATATAGGTAATATATAGCATAGACTGGCTGCTAACTAATAATTTGGTTGGTAGTCAGCTCCGTTTAGACTGGAAAGATGAGAAATATGATGTGTAATATAATTATTTATCAGACTATTGTTATCATCAGATATTAGCAGATTTGACTATGGAAACCAGGCTGTGTGTTGACTTCTGATTTCAAGAGATTGCACTCAAATTCCATCACTGCAGCTGTAGGGAACATGAGGCTGACTTTGTGAATAAAATATTATCTCATAGCCTCGGGGCAATTACACAGTATTGTATCAGGGAAAATGCCTACAGTGAAAACGGTTTAACTGTCACTGTAAGAGTTTTGTGTGGTTTGCATTTATTCATCATAACAGTTGGTTATGCTTTAGTGAAGACATTTGAAAAGGAAAATCGCTTTCCTTTAAAAAAAAAAAATCTTGCGAGGGTGTATATTTGTATTTTGCCTTGTTAGCGTGGTGACAATAGACTGATAATTTGACAAGTGGGCTTCGAATATTAGATGTGGGTCTAAGAGATGCACATACATTTACATTTTACTAAGGCTCTTTCTCTTTTTTTCAAACATGTTTCCTTTAGGCAAATATAATGACATATTAGAATAATTATAGCCCATCTTTTTAAACCATGAGAACTCCTGATAATAGTCTGTACATGTGAATCAGAGAGAGCGACATTATTAATCCTTGGACTCTTGTTGTCATTTGTCACAATGCAATATGACTATCGAGAGTTTGGTTGTAGTTACCAATTAAGTTATACAAAGGTGATGAAGTGACATGGCTTGTGACTCTGTCTGGATCATATAAGTCTTTTGCAGACCCGTTAGGGTGTTTCTTGTAAGTCTAAAGTTGTTGCCCTTGCCATCAAATATTTGAGAAGTTACTGAAAAGCTGTATGCAATTCAGCAGCTTCCAGAGTGCTATATTCTTGTTGAGTCACAATGGTGAAAACATATTTTAGTGAGGTTCAATAGCGTGCCATACAGCTGTAATATGAAATCCAAACACTTAAATTAGCAATTTTGTTTTTCATTTTAAAGCTGCATTTAAAAAAACTGCCACAAGAGGGCAGATAAACATTAATTATGCCCCTTCACTGTTTCTTCCTCTTCTATTTTTTACATCACTGACAACATGTCAGTATGACTGCTAATTATCATCAGTCTGTTGGAAAGGGACTGACATTTATGTAACATTTTTTTCATCATACTGACCGCTCAAAGCAATTCAGACATACCTAAATCACATTTAACCATAGATTCATGCACTACATTGTTCTATGCACTTTAACCACGTTATCTACCTCACACTAATGAGTTAAAATCCCCAGTTAGACTAACATACGTGCTTTTAGGCTTTTAGGTAGAGTTTGATGTCTTTAGATATTAATTCCACAAAAAGAAAGCCTTTTTCTATGAAGCGCCTTGAGGCGACTTTTGTTGTGATTTGGCACTATATAAATAAAATTGAATTGAATTGAATTGCCAGGAAGTACCCAGAAGAAAGCCAGCAGGCCTGGTTAGAATGCTAATACAGAAAAAGGTGACCATGAGGTTTGAAGCAGGGACTTTCTTGTTAACCACTGCCCCCCTGTGCTACCCAGGAATGGAGGAAAGTCACAATCCTATGCACAAGTGTCTTCAGAATTAATTGTGTTAGAATAAAGTCATCTTTAAAGTAGAATTTGATGTCTTTAGATATTAATTCCACAAAAAGAAAGCCTTTTTAGTTATTACATATGCTGCAAACAAAATGCTTATTAAATATGAACAGTATGGGTCGGCTGCAGCAAGAAAGCGGAGGAAGGGTGGTGTGCATTAATTACTTCTCCAGACAGATGGAGCCAGTGCAATGAATAGATAAAGGCTTTTCCTATTTTCCTAAAGAAAGACAAGTCTTTGTTCAAATAGAAGGGATGTTAAAGTCCCACGTTAATCATCATCCAGTCCCCTTTTCATGGCTTTGCCAACTTTAAAATGTTGAGATCTTGTTGACCTCGGATACTAATGCTGTATTTTCTCATTTCCTGCATTCCCACATTTCAAAATTCCACTGTTGCGAAAGTGGAGAGGAAAAAAAGGGCGTCACAGTCTACTGAAGGAGAAAATAAGCTGTTAGTTCAACTGAATTCAAAACACTGTTTGAGATATTTAAGAAAAAAAAAACTTTATTTGTGACGTATTAACAAAACACA